GATAGGTCAAGAGGAGAACGGACATCTACAATCTAAAACTAAAGTACATAAGAACCCCACAGTACAAGGGTAATGCGATTAGCCCTCCTTTTTCATTTTTGTGTGCTTATTAAAATGCATGAACAATGTTTTGAACATATACATGTGTCGGTTATTGCTTCTGCTGCGATTTTTTATTCTTTTACCTATGCATGTTTTTGCACAAAATCCAAACGTCTATATGCTTCTTCCAGTGGAATACGTTGTCCCTCTTCTCTTAGCTATTGATCTAATGCGGCCAAATGGATAATGCACGGTGACTGTTTAATGATATGCCTCAGAGGAATTGCTTCACTTGCAACATGATAATGATCGTCTGTCGGTGTATTCCTCGGCTTTATTCAAGGATTTTAAGTCCGTTGCATTTAGGTAGAATAAGCTGAATAAGGAGATTTTGGATTTTGGTATATCATTGACTGTGGATTTGCATGCTGAGTGTCTTGGTGGACGGGATGAGCTTGAGGGGAACAATTCATATGGTAGAAAAGTGAGTAGAGACGATGTTCCCCTTCCTGAGCCCTTGAACTAAAGTGTTCAAGTCTTTGCCTGAGGTCGGGACATATTTGCTTGTTGCTATATCAGGTTACTTTGGCTGTTGATGATTTTACATGTTGAGGATCACTTGCGTGAAAAGTCCTTTGAATTACTGATTACCTGTGATGTGAGCTTGCTGGAACTACAGCATCTGGTGTTAATGGCAGCTTATTGTAAAAGTTCAGTTGATGGTTGACCACTATTGATAGAGAGAAGAGAGGTTAAAAGAAAATAAAATAAAGAGTGGAAACTCTTAGCAGAGTGAGAAGTCATTAGATGAAGTTCTTGGTGAGAGGAGAAATAAAAGAGGCATTCTGTGAGAGGAAGAAGAGAAGAATTCATTGCTCGTCTTTTTCAATGACACGTTTTTCCTTTCACTACATTTGACCTTCCACTACCATCGTCATCTGACATCGGGCCACCAACATCATCATTAGCTCCCCGGCCATCATCTTAACACCGTATCTACGCATCGATTAACCATTGCCTTCGGCACACCCGCGAAGCGGAAATCTCATATCAAATAAAACAAACAGCCTGTGAATATCGCACTTCTCGAAAATGTGAGAATTAAGCCTTATGCAAAACAAGAGTGATATATACGTCACAAAGTCACCTCTCGAAGTGCTTTTTTAAGGGAAAAACCCACGTGGGATCCGAACCGAGCGATTAGAATTTTAAGGCGGGCATCACTAACCGGTCTCCCTGACCCAAATCGGCAATCCCCAGAAGCTTTGAACAACTCCAAGTTCCTTGCTCGTCATGGCATTTGACATAAATAATAATAAAAAATCCTGTCTTCATCCATAAAATATTTATTTTTTCATTTAAACGGCTCAAGTCTCAGCCATTCACGATGAGCAATTGGTCTGTTCCTTTGAAAACCATTAATGGACGTTCGTACCAAACTTGATTCTCGGATACGAAAGGTTAATGCACGGGATCCGATCGTGTTGCAGTTGTGCCATCGCTTTACATAGAAAATTTGAGTGGCGATCGTGGAAGGCCAAATGTAGGGGAAGGAAAAACGCGTCGGAAATGGGGAAGCAAATTATACTGAGGAGAGGAAGGAAGCTACGCGGACTGGTTCCGCCATTTTAGAGTTGACGGAGACTCGACTAGGGAAAAAATCGTCGGTACTATTCAAAGACCATTCAACAAGGGAAAGTTCTAGGAATAGTGGTCTCGAGCGTTATATAAACGAATTTCAGTATTGACCTGTGATATTTTGAAAATTCGACCAAATTGGGTAATTTATGAAATGGTAATTTCGTCAACGCTCTATTAGTTAATTCTCGCTCTGGCCTGATCACCCAGGGAATACTAACCAAAGCGGAAAGGCTACCGAGGAATTTATTTCCAATATCCGCCCGTTAGTTCGAGATGAACTATAATTGCGATTGACCGATTTCAGCCACGAATTATGATCCGATTTTGGTGCGTCGAATGCTCAAGGATTTCACACCCGAACCATAGGACGTCGCCTCGTCATTTTTACAAATTGGCCATCGAAAATCCTAATTTCGGAAAACGATCGAAGAATCGAAAATTTGACGCGAGAAATGGAAGTGAACCGAACAAAGCCCATTGGGTCTCAAGCCCAAGAAAGACCAGCCATTAAGGCCGATAAGGTTAAGTCAGCCCGTAAATTGGTACGCCGCTGACCAGCCCCCACCAACTCCGCCTACTCCTCTCTCTCTCTTCTTCTTCTTCTTCTTCTTCCTCTTCTGCTCGTGTTCTGCTTCTTCCCGACGCCCCTTCATCCTGCTCACCGCCGGACCATTCCCGCCGGAAGTAGCCACCGCCGAGCACCGCTCCACCCCGCCACCGAACCACCGCCACCCCAGCTTCCCTCCCCGGCTGAGCAGAGCCGCCCCCAGCTGCCCCGAAGTTCTCGTTGTCGGCCTGTTTCAGTCAAGCGTGAGTAGCGCCTCTCGCCGGATAGCGCCGTCGTTCGTCCCCGCCGCTTGCCGCCGCCATCCTAGATGCCAGGAAACCATCACCAGCTGCCATTACGTCCTTGGATCAGCCCTCAAGCCGCGCCGAACAGCCACCAGCAGCTGCCCCTCTGTCACGCCCGTTCACCGTCGTTCACGCTCGCCGAACGCGTCCGTTGTCGCAGCTGCTGTTCGCTGTTGTCCAGCCGCCTTGCCACCACCACCAGCCGTCGTTCTACATCCGGAATAGCCCCCGAGCAGCCTTGAACAGCCACCCCAGAAGCCACACCTTTGCCGCGCTCGTTCGCCGCCGACCGCCGAGCTTAAATCGGAAACCACTGCGGACAGCCGCGCAGCCGCCGTCGTCCTCGCGTCGTCGCCGTATTTAGACATGTAAGTTAACCCCTAATCCCTTATTTAGGGTGTTAAACTTGCTTAGGATAGTTTAATTAAGGTTAGATTAAGTTAATGATTGGTTAAATAAGTTTAGTGCATAAGTTAATGTTTGATTATTTGATAACCGTGGACGATATGTTATCATAGATTTATAAGTTATTATCGAATGTGGTGATAGGTTATCGGTGTTTAAATGATAAGTTATCGGTAAATTTTAGTGATAGGTTATCGGTATGTTCGATAAGTTATGATTATTTGTATGATAGGTTATTGTTGTGTTCGCGATAAGTTATCGTTATTTTTATGATAAGTTATCTATTATTTTATTATTGCCATTTATTTTATTAAATAAATTAATTTCGGAATTAAATAATAATATTTTATTCTATAAAATATTTATTAATAAAATATTGGATTTCCGAAAATTAAATATTAATATTTTCGAATGATTTTTAATATTGAATTGTGATTGTTTTATGCACAAATTGTGATGCCAATGTTGGATTTCACCGTATAAGTTGGCGTATATGGAAAATGATTTGAATGATTATGATTCGAGAAAATATTTTGAATTTTTGAAAAATAAATTATTTTCGGATATTATTGAATAATTAATTTCCGAATTTATTTATTATTATTTCGAAAAAATTTTAATCTCAAATTATGATTTCTGTGCTTGAAGGGTGGCGATTATGCCGTGAATCGTCGTATTAATTTGATTATATGACAAATTGTTTTGAACGGAAGTTTTCAAGGAAAATTTATGAGATTTTTTGGAATTAAACTATTTTTATGGTTATGCCAAGAAATGATAGTGATGCTTTGTGGTTGATAAACGTGTTTGGCATCGAAGCTTGAAAGAATTGATTGACTGTTTGCATGTGTGATCACTTGGTTTGTTATGCGGCATTGTGTGAGCACTATTCATGGATGCATGGGCTAATTGAAAAGATAATAATTGGCCGGAATGCTTGTGTGCTTGTGTGGTCACACGTCGGAGCCGTCTTGCTGTAGATCGCTTGACGATGCCCGATTTATCGAGGTCTGCTGCAGATCGCGCTCGATTTTATCGGATGCCTGGAGATTATCTGGATTACCGATACTCCGGATGCCGGATCGTGGCCCGAGGGCGGATCCAATGCTCCTTACGGGATACCATCTTACTGTGTATCGTTTGATGTTGTCGTACTGGAATGCCGTCATCTTGTGTATCGTTTGACGTAGCCATGCCTGACGGGGCGGGACGGAGCCCGGTCATTGCGGAAGACTGCTATCTTGCTGCAGATCGCTTGATGTGTAGTGGCCCCGAGGGGCATAATAACTGGAAGACATGTGATGCATAATGCTTGATTATGGGGTAGAAACTACTAGGCATGGTATGGGACGTGCCCAAGTGGGTTTTGCCTTATAATCGAGACACGCGTGACTGTGATGCATTGATGTATGCGAATTTTTATTATATACTATGGTTATGTTATATGTTTGATGCATCGCTGTGGCATATGACTACATATGTCATGCATTATATGTGTGCCAAAGCAGGGTAAAGATGCCTGTGGTTGATTAATGACTTGTGTCCAGTGCGTGGTCGCGTGATTAGGGACCCCCGTGCGAATTGGCCTTCTAAACGGGGCTTAGGCCGTTAACTTATTGAGACTTTCGTCTCATTTGTTGTTGTTAACCATCTTTCAGGCCTTAGCATGTTGATGCACCCAGTTTGGTTCAGGGTGTCTGGAAGCTAGCTTTTTGGGATCAACCCGTTGGTGAAGTAGATTGACCCCAGCCTGATATCTTTTTGTTGGCTTTTGTGGTGATGCCTGAAGTGGGCCTGTAAAAATGTTCCCAGGGGTTAATCAAGTGAATATCAAGATGGTGTTTTGGTTTGGTTGTATGATTTGTTTTCCTATCTATCCCTATTTATTGTAGTTGTCCGGGTGATTGTTGTTATCGTTTCCACATGCGTAATTAAAAGATAAAATGAAGGGTCGGCGACGAGTCCTGGGACGTCGCATTGTGACGACCATAGTGGGATGTTGCACGTCCGTAGGGTTCAGGGTGTGACATGTCTACTCAATCTATTTTTCATGCAAACACAATGTGAACGAGCCTTTCTTGATCAGGTGCTCTGAGAGAAGAAACCCTCAGGCGAAAATACTTGAGAGAATGGACATGGGAAAGAGCTGGAAGGCTGAAACAACTGGCGGTGAGTCGTCGGCGATTGACTACGATGTCTTTTTGAGTTTTAGGGGGCCAGACACTCGCCAAGCATTCACGGATTCCCTTTATCATGAAATGCTAGAAGCAAATATCCGTGTCTTCTTTGATGAGGAAGAGCTTCATGTTGGTAAAGAAATAGGTGATGAGCTATCGACGGCCATCGAAAAGTCAAAGATCTACATACCAATCTTCTCTAGAGGTTATGCTTCAAGTTCGTGGTGCCTTCGCGAGCTCGCACACATGGTGGAGTGCAAGAAATACAAACCATCTGAGAAGGAGATTTTGCCAATTTTCTACGACGTGGGACCTCGTGATGTTAAGCTTAAGTCCCAACTGTACGTCAGCACTTTGGAGGAGCATGAGGTGAGGTTCGGCCCCCAGACAACGAAAAAGTGGGAGGATGCCCTCAAAAGTGTCGCCCAAATCAAAGGATGGGAGTTGAAAAAGCAAGGGTACGTAGGTTTCAAGCACTACATAACTTTTGTTTTGGACTTTCATTATGTACCCAAGCTTGATAAATTTTCGTTTAGGCAGTTTGAAATTGAATACCATGTGTATTTTGAAAACTATTTCTTATAAAATAATCAACCATGTCATTCATCCAGTAAGAGGTCGAGCCATGTTGATTTCAACCACTTGCTGAGTTTTCTAAGGTTATCTTTTAATATATTGATATAGATGACTCACTAACGTGGCAGGCATTGGAAATTCATTAAATCAGTGACCCAAGAGATACTGATGAAGCTAAAGATAAAAGACAAATACGTCGCCGGACATTTAGTAGGAATGGACCATCAAGTGGAAGCTGTAGTGAAGTTGTTGAATGTGGACTCCAGGGGCATGTGTTTTGTGCTAATCCATGGAACGGGCGGAATTGGAAAAATGACTCTCGCTAAAGTTGTCTACAACAAACTAAATTCCCTCTTCAGTCATTGCTGCTTCCTAGGAAATGTCCGGGAATCATTGCTCCACTTTGGCCTTATAACTTTACAAAAACAACTATTATCTAACATGTTTGGTTCAAGCTTTCATGATGGAATCAACGACATTGATGATGGGATCAAGTTGATTACACAACGACTTTCAAATAGGAAAGTCTTCATCGTTCTTGACGATGTGGATGAGGAAGAACTCGATAAACTAGCCATAAAGCATATTTCCTTCGGTTCCGGAAGCAGAGTTATTATGACAACTAGGAACAGAAGCATCATAGAAGCTGATCGAACTTTAGAGTACAAAGTGAATCCACTGGATTCCATTCAATCACTCGAGCTTTTTAGTAGACACGCATTCGGAAAAAGTCCTCCTCCAGATGATTATGTTAGTCTTTCGAGACAAGTAGTTTCTATGATCGGAGGAATTCCGTTGGCTCTCAAAGTCATGGGCTCATTACTTCGTCGCCAAAACAAAGGCTTATGGATAAGCGTATTGCACAATCTGAGAGAAATAACTCAAGAGAAGGTCCTAGAAACTCTGAAGATCTGCTATAATGCCTTGAGTCATGAGCAAAAACAGATCTTTCTCGACATCGCCTGTCTTTTTGTGGATGAAGACAAGACAAGAGCATTCTACATGTGGAAAGAATGTGGGTTTCAGCCAGATTATTCGACAAAAGTCCTTGTCTCCATGTCCTTGATAAAGATAACTAATGAAAACAAATTCTGGATGCATAACCAACTGAGAGATTTTGGGAGGAAAATCGTTTGTGAAGATACAAGGTTGATGGATCCAAGAAAGCAAAGTAGGCTGTGGGTTCCTGAGACGGCCGTTAAAATCATTAAAACAGAAGAGGTGAAACCACGTTTGACCGTCGAATTCTATACTTTTCTCTGTTATTCATTGATTTATTAGGAGTCCTTTTTTAATAGGGAGAGGAAGGATGAAGACATTTTTCATTTACTCTTATGCTACTTTACCATTGAATGACAGAGAAAGGAGGCCATTGAAGCTGTTTGCTTAGATGGTAATGCACCTGGAATCTACACGAGCGAAGAGTTTTCAAGGCTTCCAAACATAAGGTTCCTCAAGTTATGTAGGGGATGCTTTGTTGGAGACTTTAAGGAGCAGCTTTCAAGGTTAAAATACTTGTCCTGGAATAGGTGTCCTCATGAGCTCTTGGCCGTCAATTTCCATCCAAGCAATCTTGTAGTTCTCAACCTGTCTTATAGTGCCATCACGGAGGACTGGGCTGGATGGAGTCAAATCAAGGTATGGTATGTTGCTATTTGTTTATCTAGATCTCAATTGAATGTCTCTCACAGAGTTTTCTTTTTTGGGAGGGATCTCTTATTGACTATAAAATAACTATACAGGCAATAACCTATTGTAAATAAAATGGGCCATGGATGGAGTAATCAAGGCCTTCAATAACTAACACTAAGTTGGTCTCATAATCAATGCCATTTATGGTAATAACATATTTAGGGAAAGAAGCTAAATTAATATATAGGTGGATATATGAAGATCAGGTTGGATAGGAGTTCGCGCTAAAATGGATGGGTCTATGGGGGTTAAATGGCGAAAATGAGTCAACCCAATTACAACTCAGTGCCAACACAACCATTCACTACCTCTAAATCACATAGAATTTCCCCATTAATCTCTTTTGGCTATTGTAACAGGTTGCCGAGAAGCTAAAAGTTCTAGATCTCACAAACTGCAACAACATGACCAGGACTCCAAACTTCTCTAGTCATTTGAGTTTAGAGAGATTGATCCTAAAAAATTGCAGAAGACTGATTGTGATTGACGGTTCCCTCAAAAAGCTTAAATGCCTGATTTTCTTCAATGTAGATGGGTGTACAAGTCTTACGGAGTTACCCGAAGGAATCGGACGGTTAGAGAAGCTCGAGTACTTGTATTTAGGCAACTGTAGAAAGTTGAGGAAGCTGCCTGAATCATTTGCGAGAGTGTCATCACTAGTAGAGTTGGATCTCTCGTATACGGCCATCACAAGATTACCTATTTTCATTGGTAATCAAAAGCGCTTGTCAGTTCTTAAATTGCAATCTACACCAATCGATGAACTTCCTAGTTCTATTGGAAATCTAGGGGAACTAAAGTCTCTCTTTCTGCTGCATACCAAAGTAAAGAAACTTCCTATCTCGATTGGGAACTTAGAATCACTACTCGAGTTGGATGTCTCAGGAACAGAATGTTTGCAATTACCTGAATCTATCGGAGGCCTAAGTAGATTGAAAGTCATCAACATTTCGAATTCTTGCATAAGGGAGTTACCAAGGAGTATTGTCATGCTAAAAGAGTTGGAAGAGCTACATGGCAAGGATTGCCGGTCTCTTAAGTGGGAAATTCCCGAGGACATTTCTGAATTGTTGCTTTTGAGGGTCCTTGACTTGCAAGCAAACCGTATTAGAAATATTCCAGAGACGATCCAACTACTTCCTCACCTAGAGAAATTGAGTTTATGGCGTTGCAGGAAACTCGAAGTATTGCCTAAGCTTCCCACAAGCTTGAGAAGCCTAAGCTTCGGATCAAGTTCGTTGCAGTGGGTCCCGGATCTGTCAAACCTAACAAAATTGGTGGATTTGAGCTATGGTGGTCATGATGAGAACAGTCATCCTTTGTTCTTCCAAGATGGACCATTCCAACAATCTCTCGTGTTCCTTCCACTATCTTTGTCAATATTGTCACTCGAATATCATGAATCAATAACCAGTTTATCATTTCATTGCGACTTGAGAAACTTGACACGTTTGCGGATTTATCAATGTTGTTGGAAGGAAGTTCAACTCGATGGGCTTGAACAGTTGATTGAATTCGAAGTGGAGGGGTCAAAACTCCTCGAGAGATTTGCCGGCCTTTCGAGGTTGAAGAGGTTGAAGCTGTGGAAACTGATTGATTGCCCAAATCTAATTGCGATCCAAGGTCTTGGTTCGATGGAGTTGTTGGAACAATTGGAAATAAAAGAATGTCCTAAGATTAAAAGTCTAGATGATCTGTCAGATTTGAAAAAGCTGAAGTACTTGGTAATTCGAGGATGCGAAGAGCTTCCGGCAGTTAAGGGCCTGGATGAACTAGAGACTCTCAAAAGATTGGATTTTAACCGCTGCAGATCGTTGGAAAGTTTTGCTAATGTCTTCAACTCGAAAATACGAGACAGGTGCTGCATAACCATTTTCAACTGCTCAAAGTTAGTAGATCCTTCGCATGGAGGCCTAGTCAGCTCGTACGAGCAATGGAAAGTCCAGGAAATGTCCAACAGGGTTCGTGATCAGTCAAGCCAGAAGTAATTGAGAAATCTTTCTGCAGTCGTTTGAAGCGAATAAGATGTACCCAAGCGAAGAAACGATTGATTCGAGGATTGGTCATACTAGGATGATTTTCACTGGCTAAAGCTTGGGAAGTGGCTTTTCAGGTTAGACTCCACATTTTCTGATCCGTCTGTAATTATGAGTGTTCGTCATAATTTGTCGATCATGTCCGGTCAGTCACGGTATTTGTTGACATTTTCCTTCTTAGATTGCTTCTAATGCTATCGTCGTTTTCGTGAAAATATATGTATTACTTTCGACAATGTTTTCACCACCTAGAAAGGCATGTACAATTCTCTCGGTTCCTTCGCCATCTTCATTCAGCTACACGACTGAAGCTCCTTTCTGTGGAGTCGTCTTCTTCTCCGCAACCACAACCTCCATGGACGAAGCTCTTTTCTCTTCCGCCACAGTCTCAAGCTCAACAGCAGGAACTGACATGTTTAATGATGGAATGGTTGTCGCCCACGGCCTCCAAGGCTTCACCGCACTTCAACGTCTCATTTCGCCTGCAAAATGGAGAAGACAACGTCTCTGGCTTTTCCCGTTCCAGCAGCTGCTGATATTCTATTCTCCTTAGCCTCACATGCTCCTGACGTCGTGTGACGCGAGCGCTCGATGATCTTCACCGTCGACAACTTCTCAATTTTTACCAGCGCGCGAAGCTACGTCAGCAATATGTGGTTCTGCATCGTGCCGAATCGGTATCCTGCGATGGCGTCGACCTCTTCAAATCTTCAGGTGAAAGTTGTTATAGCTCATTCGATTGAGTCAGGGGATGAATCTCTATATGCTTCTTTCAGTGGAATACATTGTCCCTGTTCTCTCTGTTTTGAGGTGTGGAGGAAGTTTTTCTTAGCTATTGGTCCAATGCGGCCAAATGGGTAATGCACGGTGACTGTTTGATTATATGCCTCAGAGGGATTGATTTACATGAAACATGATAATGATCACCTGTTCGCATCTTCCTCGGCTTTATTCAAGGACTTTAAGTCCGTTGCACTTAGGTAGAATAACCTGAATGAGGAGATTGAATAAGATTTCGGTCTATCATTAACTGTGGATTTGCATGCTGAGTGTTTTGGTGGATGGGATGAGCAGCAGGGGAACAATTCATAGGGAAGTCGCCCCCGATTGCATAGAGACCGCAAAAGCCATAGATGAACATTGGCAAAGTAGAGGTAGAAACGATGCTTCCGTTCCTGAGCTCTTGGAGTAAGGTATTATGGTGATTTGGTTAAGCTAAAATTTGAGTATACGAGCCGCTTTGCTTGATCTTGTTTATGTTCCAAATCTGATCCTCAGCCGCTTTTCTATTCTGGCGGATAGAAAAAGTAATTGATGTTACCAAACGGATTTGATGCGTGAATTCTGTTTTGGACAAGAATTCGGTCGCAAAGTGAGTCGGGAAATTTTGATGTAACATGTTTGAGAGTCGGTTAAAGTTCATCGAACCTAGTTGGATTATGCATTTGGTCAGACAAATCAGTCCCAAACACCTCACACGGTTATCTCTCTTTAGTCCTAATATTTCTTAGCACACAAATGTCTTTTCTATCGACATCTCCGAAGACATGGCACACCCACTTCTAAATACTCCTTGACAATTGTAATTTTGAAAGGCCTATTATTTTTTCTCCTTCCTTTTTTGTAACTCACGCACTTATAATAGGGGTGCTAAATTTGGGAATTGGGTTGTGCCAAGAAAATTCGCAGTGTGCATCAATTCAAATGCGCGTTAGATAGAAGATTGGAGAAGCTATGAACAAAAAGGAACAAGTGGTGGTGGTTAGTAGTGCCGGCTCACGGGTCATTTCAAATTGCTCACTTGGTTGCCTTCTTTGATTGTGCAAATTGTATTAACCAACACTAGTCTGTACAAGGTTGAGAGATCTCATGCAGCCACTCAAAATTCATTCCGTCAAATGCGGGACTCATACGTTCAAAGAGGATAATCGGTCAGCAAGGACTAGAGCAGTAATCAAATGCACGTGCTCTGAACAACAATTGATAACCAAGCATGCCAGCTTTGTCGAACACGTTATAGGTGCTGAATACTAACCTCGTGGTCAATACAAGCAATTCAGAAGTGTAATTGGCTGTTGACTGAGACTTAAAAGACTCATAAAACGAACCCAGAACATCTGGGCTCAACAACAAATCCAGAAGCTCTCAGTTTAAAGGACAATACAGCAACACATCCAAGGCAGAATTTAATTGTAATAATGGGCTTAAATAACCCATTATTTTATCTAGAGCCCAGCCCATTAACTTGTCTATATTTTCAACGTGAATTGGTGAAGAAGGAGCCTCGGTGACTGAAGAGAGAAAGGGGAGAAGAAGGGAAGAAGAAGAAACGCACGCAGAGGAAGAAAAAGGGGAATAGGGAAAAATCTTCCTGCGTTTACGATCCGGACGACTCGACAAGCCAAATCAACGTCGTTTGTAATGCCGGGTAAGCAATCGAGGCCTCTATTAGTCTAATCGGATTGATTTCGGAAATTAGGGCACAAATTTAAAGAAATATCGATTTTGAATTGCAAGGCTCGATTGCGGAGTTATTAAGTTGCGATTTTGTGTGGAATGATGGTTTATGGTGTTGTAAAGTGGTGGGGTTTGTTGAGTAGCTATTTCGTAGTATGGTTATCCGGGACGAAATTCGGAGTTACGTGTTACTCGAGCGGCGAAGTCCGATTTTTGAGTTGTTAAGCTGTGAATATATATAGAATTGGTAGTTTAGGGTGTTGCGAGGCCGTGGGATTTTACGGAACCTGATTTGGACTTACGGTTTGCCAGATTTGAAATTTTGAAGTTGAGTGCGCGCAGTGAACAGTGCGCGATCAGTGGTTTTTAAGCCGATTTTTGTCAGTTTTTGGCTCAATTTTAGGACGGCCAAGTTAGGGTTCTTGTAATGCTCTGAATAAGCTTTCTCTTGACTATAAGTTCGCTTAGAACGGAGTTTAGTGGAGAAAGTTATGGCGCAATCAAGTTTCGCGCTCAAGTTCTGCGTCGTGGATGAATTTGGATAATCGCTTTGGACGAATGATTTGGAAGCGTCTTTTAGTCGTTGTGTTAGAGTCTAAGCCTAGTTGAGCCGAGTCGTAGTTGAAGTAACATTTTACTCGGTTTTGATACCGTTTTTCGACTTATTGTTAGGTATTCGAGTGCGTCGGCTCGAGAAACCGCCGTAGGTTAGTTTTTCAGCTTTTCAAGGTGAGTGGTACTATTTCTTCTTTGAATTTGTAAACTCATGTTTAGAAAATGAGATGTATTAGACATGTTACCATATAAGAAATGGCATTTTGATTGCATAAAATTGGATCGAGCATTTACTGCCATATTGTGTATTTGAAATGAAAGATTATCTTTTGATTTCGGTTTGAATTTACTGAATGCAAATAGGTTTGCGAAACCTTTTAAAAAGACTCATGAGGAGTTCTTGCATTTGAATGTGGCTTATGAAGGGTTTTATATCGGTTTATGAAATGGTTTATGAAATGATTTTTGGAATGGGTTTTGTAGATTGGTGGATGATATTGTTGTGGATTTTGATGCTCAGTGTCTCTGTGAACCCAAATGAGGGGTTATGGGTATACGCATACTAATCTAGAATATCTTTGTGGGCCGAGCCACCGGCTTATAGTAGGTGGAGACCTTGTCAAGGGGGGAATCTTGGTAACCTTTCATGGGGCGTTATCTGTGATCATACGTAGATTTCTGAGCATGAGATTGGCCAATGGGATGGACCATTGGCGTGTGCTTTTCGACGAGATTGGCCAATGGAATTGACCATTGGTTTCTTCTTTGACATTATTAATTAAAACGAGATTTCCTATTGTGAAAAGGTTATGTTTAAAGTGGTATATAACGTATTTTGACCTTGAAGTTTGTGATATGTTGGAGTTGGGTTAATTGAGCTTTCGTTTGGTCTTTAACCGTGTGCATAGTGGGTGCTCGATCTACTTAGAAAAAATGTATTACTCACTAAGCCGTGGTAGCTCATTCCTCTCATCTTACTTGTTTTTCAGATTCTTCACCGAGACGCTAGTAGGCGTGAGAGTTCCGGTGTCAGGGAGGGCATTTTGATAGTTGGGACTTTTTGGTACGAGTTACACATGGATGTGGAGTTTAAGTTTTAGCCTGTTGCTGGAAGTGCTTTTGGCCTTTTGATGGATTGTAGTTAACTCTGATATTATAACCAGATAAACTCTATATCATGTATATATATGTGGATGCATATATTATGATATTAGGTGAGTTTCGGTTATGTTTAGGTTGCGTCCTTTTGTGAAAGGATGGCCGTGTCATGCCTTTATTCTTGTTGAGTTTGGGGTGTGACATTTATCCTCTAAGATCAAAATCAAACTTGAACGGAGCAAATCAGAGCATCCATGATTGAAGGACTCTCTATAGAACAGAGAAATCATGTCGCAAGGTCAGTGTCAAGTCTCACTAGTAACTTTCTAATGGATCAATGGTGAGAGTAAATCATGCTTAAGTTCTTTGAGACAAATCGTCGAACAGGTGATACACATTTCGGTCAAGGAGCTTTGACGCACAATTAAAGCAATGATTCATTTTCAAATCATCACATCAACAACGATATAAGTTCAAATTATCAAGAAAAAACTTTCAATCGCAGTTGATTTTCACACAAACATATCTATATAGCTCTCGGCCTCTGCTTCGCGTGTAGAGCAACCGAAACAGAGCATAGGCGATAATTACCTTGAAAGTGCATATGTTGTCCGCGGATAGTGATGACATCAAACTCCCCAGCTAAGAAACAAGGGCGAACAAAGGAACTGTCGGAAAAAAATCAATGGGGAAGATGGAATCAGACTTTGAGGGGTGAATATAACGTTGCTAATGGTTACATGCAAATATCTTCCAAAGTACAACAAAGTCTCAAACGAGAATAACTAAGAACTCTCGAAAGGAAAATAATCGGAGAATAAATGTTGTAATTTTTTAGAAAGAGAAGAAAAATTGAGAAGTAGGAAACATTGATAATAAATAGCAAAACCTTTGGTGAACATACTGTTTCAAAATGATACAACTATTCTTTTTTTTCAACTGTAAATTCGAAATTAAAATAAAATAAAAAATAATAACCACCACACATTCATATCTTTCGATGTGGGACAAGGTACCTCTTAAAAAGATGACTATCACACATTCATATCTTTTCAATATGGGACAAAACATCTCTTTATTTGTTTTACAAATAAACTACCAACAATCCGCCACTTTGTTTGTAAAAAAAAATTACAAAAATTTTTTTTTAAAAAATATAAAGCCAAAATTTCTATGAGAATAATATACATACATAAATGTCTCTTTTGAGTTAAACCTTTTTTTTGGCTAGTATCTCAAAATTCTATAAAAGTTACAAGTAGCTATAGCTTTAAACTTGCTACTTTAATAATATAATCGGAAATATCGCACATATATAAACCTCTTATATCAACGTGAAGTTATATAATATACTTAGCACTCTATTATGTCCTTGTGCTTGTTCCTGTTTCATGACCTCTCTATAAAATAGCCCTAACTTTCGTAAGAAGAGGCATCACTTCTTAGCTCATATAGGTGAAGCATCTACCATGTGTTTTGTTACTAATAAACTCATTACTAATTTGTATTTGTCGCAGCCTCCCTACGGCGGCCCTTAGGGGCCAAGAGGTGAAAGATTAATGGATTGCTAAGTCTAAACCTAAGGACTGGACTTAGACTCTCCCAAACTCACACCAATTCGCTAAAATTTACGTGTCAACAATATTATACTTCATTAGGAATATAATTCAGCCTACAAAAACGTAACAAATGATACTGACTTCTTATGTCCGGGCTAATATCAGTCAAGCAATCACTTTCAGTAACTTGTTTTTACTCATTAAACCTTTATAACTAGTAATATACTAGTATTTAGTTGGGTTTACCATCACTGGTGATTTTAGTCAAAGGATTTCAGCCTTATTTTTTTTTAGGCCTTACCATCTCTCTTGATAGAGCCCTTGTACAGGGTCGCCAAATTCTTGCTTGACCTCACATAAACAATTGTTATGGTACCATCCTGAATCAATTGTCTCACATACTCATGTCTTAGACTGATATTTCTAAACTTGGCATGATAATTGCTATTATAAGCTCTTGCCAAAGTAACCTGACTATCACAATAGATAGAAATAGGAGCATAGGATTAGGCCATAATTTGATGTCCAACAATAAATTCTAATCCATTCAGGCTCTTTTCCAG